GCAGGTTTGTCTGTCATTGTCCCTATGGAGCTATAGGCAGATTTTAAAAACTGTATCCTATCCTTGGAATAATTCACCCCTCAAGTGCAGTTGCTTTAATACGCACAAAGAGGTGCAATTAGCACTTGTGATGTAAATCTCTTCCACTGACAATTGTTACTAACAATTCCACGTTGTAGCCTTCTCGACATTATGATTCCAGAAACCTCTGCTTTGCATCAATCCAACTGAATCCATTCAGAACAATCAATACTTTGAAGGCAGCTTGATTGTGTTTACAATTCAATAATCTACCTAAGGAGTTCCTAACTGGGGAAAGAAAGGTTTCTAACCAGGAGACCTGGAGAGCATGCATTAGATAGTATATATGATGAAAGAAGAGGAAAATCTTGAAAGAAAATCTTTCTCTGTTAAAATTAATAACAGACTTTTCATCTTTATATTACCAAGATAGAAACAGGAATATTTTTGCATAATGTAAAATAATATACAGTTTAGCCTGACAGGACATTTGTATTTCAAAAAGTCAGATTAAATGTATTAATTTCTTTAATAGATTAAAATATCTTAAAGATGAGAGCATTTTGATGAATAGTCTTGTAAAGGTTTTAATAGAATTCCAATTTTTTAGTTCTTGAATTTTTTTTATACTTTAAATGTACTTTTTTCTGATGACCAAAACTAATTTTTCTTAATGTTAACATAAAAAAATCTCGTTGGTATTTGAATCTAGCCAAATAAAACTTGTTTGCTGACTAACGCCATGCAAATGATTAAAACAACACTTAGAAGCACATGTATTTTCTAACAATGTCTATCATTTTGAGGGCTATATAAACTTGGCTGACCCTAGTATATGCTGTATGTGTAATGTTCATAGTAGTGATCATATAACATTTAAAGATGTATGGTAATTAAAATAAACAAATTTATCATGTTGCCATTTTGTAAATTAGTAATAACATGGATTCCTTATAAAGGATATATATTATATATGCAATAAAACATGTTTTGAGGAGACATGTGACTACTATGATTTGTACTCCTGTCATCAGGGTGTAATTTTTCATTTTTTCTTTCTAAGAACCAACATTACAAACAAGTGTTCCCACAAATATTTGCACACAGACTTGTTAGATTATTTGCTTCCAAATAACACCCACTTTTATAAATAGTACAGTATTTTACAGCACATCAGTGTCATGACAGCTGCATTATGCAAGTTTTTTACTATAAACAGGTAATGGTTGCAAAACTGATCCTTGAAATGGTAATATTAGATGCCATTGTGCTACTGTCAAACTGTATGTATTGGGTTACATCCTCAAATGTGCTATGCCAATTTCCATTATCTACAAATCTGACCCACTGCTTGGCCATATATACATGCAGTTTTGGTGAGGAGTGCCATTCTTTAGTGAGATAGTAACAAAGTAAAACACAAATTGTACACGGTTATACCAGTATAAAGATTCCTTAAACCCAGTAAAATTGATTCTCCTCCCAGTAAAGGAATGAACTATCCTGTAATAACCTCCTTGCACCAGTACAGCTCCATCCACACTAAGTGGGATGTACCCTATAGTTAAAATGGTGTAATTTTAAAGCATAGAAAAGCACCCAAAAATCTTATTCCATTCTGATTCCACAATTAAACCTTGGAATAGGTATAAATGTTCTTGCTGTTTTCCATTTATAAATTAAACTAAGTATAAATGAAAATTTGACCTTTTATTCCTTGTTATATAAAACAACCTGGATCTTGTATAATCTGACAAAAGGCCAACGCCTGCCGTACTTATATTAATGTTGAATACACTGAATGCCTGAAAACTTTGACATCAGTGAGAAAACTCCTATTAAGAAAGTGAACAGAATTTAGCAAAAAGTATGCAACCTTTTCACAAAGAAGTTTAGACAACATTTTACCATGTGCTGTTTAAAGCTGTTAGATGAACACTTGGTTTTATGTATTTTGTGGGAGATGTCATCATCTTATTTTGTCAATGTGCACAGAATTTAACAGCCATAATACATTTTGTGTATTTTGTGTGTGATAAGCATGACCCTCCTGGTTCATTTGACAAAGTCAAATTTACCTGATGTCTCTAGCAGAACGACGTGAATATAAATCACCATCTTAGAACAAAATAAATTACCACTGTAGTCCTCCTAACAAAAATATCTAAAATATTTTTTCCTTTAAATATAGTGAGCAGAAAGCTATGGAAAAATGTGCAGTGATTCAAGTCTATCACCTTATTATCCATTCCAAAATGTAATGTATACTTCTTTGTAAAAGAACTAATAGCAAACTTCCTATCTTTCTACACACTGGGCACATCTACACATGCCCCGCACAGCATAGCTGTTATTGTGTCATCATTAGTACTACCTCTAGGAAGTACTAAATGATGGTGCAGTAGCAGCTGTTACTGTGCTGTCCTGGCCCCTCACAGTCATTTTTAGCAGCTATGTTGCTGTAGCGATGTGCCATTATAGCGAGGTTACTTGTTGCTATGGTGAAGAGCATCAGCATCACAGTTTGTGCCAGCCGATGCTACTTTGCCATAGTGATGAGCTATGTCGCCATGGCTCCTTGCTACAGTGACACAGTATCTCATGTAGATGCTCTCATTGTCAATCAAAGTAATGGTGCATATTTTGAAAAGTAGTTTCTAAGCCAGAATGGCATCCTTTCAGAATACACTGTATGTTAAATGACTAGTTTACTTCTAAAATATAGTTATGCTTTTTGTAGAGATGACACCCTACCTTTAAGGGAAGAAATTACTAAGAATTTCACATTAATATTTATCATAAAAATATTACATTAGGGATACATTATATCCTGTCACTCCTTTTTTTCAGAAAAGATGGACTTGTTAGAAAAGTATGACATGACATAGAAGCAAATTGTTAATTGAATTAATACTGTCATCATCAGCCTTTTATGCAAGCAAACATTGCTGGAAAAAATTATTTATGTTAAAATTATTTTACTGTGTTTTAGTTTGTTCACAAAAAGAAATACATTAAGAAAAATATAAAAAAATATTACTGAGGAAAAGAATCTGCAATGAAAAACATCAAAAAAGAAAAAGAAAAAAGAAAAGAAAAGAACCCCCCCTAAACCAACAACTGAATTTTGGTGTAGCTTACCTAAACACTCCTCATCTCATCTGCTGCTTAGTTGTCCATTGCCTGTGAGTCCCTGAAATGTGAGACAGAACAAACTCAATATAATCAACATGTAACCTACTGACTCTATTTCAACAATATTTCAGTTTCAAGTGTCAGGACATGTGCTTCAAAAACTATTAAAATGTTAGCATGCAACTCCAGCTGCAAAAGATTTTTTTCACAAACTGAACAGTAATAGACCTATGCTTTATTCTCATCAAAAAAGTAAACCAATCACATTGACAAAAAGCCACCATAAACAAAAAAACTGTATTTAAAAGATTAACAGTTTTGGCATCCCTACCATCAAGTCTTCTGTTCTTGTTTTTTCATCAAAATTTAGGTTATATATTTGTTGTTAGCAAGAGTTGCATTACTATTATTGTTAATTTTAGTTCTGTTTATTACCTTGAGGGTTATGTATTGTAAAATAATTTTGTTGTCACTAGTTAATGTTAATTAGTTTTTTAAATAGCCTATATACCTATTTGTTATCTTTTGGTAGGTTTACTTTTTTAACTATCAGTAACTTAACTGAGAATATTTAACATTACTGTTGCATACTCAAAATTACAGAGTTACTATTAGTGTTACCTGTTTAACGTTTAGTCATCCTTTGAGTCCTGCGACATATTTCCTTAATAATCATCAGCCATCAAGTCTGATAGTCTCAAAAGAAATATCAGCCCTCTAAACTGCCTTCAAGGGCGGTGATATTTAGCACTGAAAATTACAAATAGAGTTTTTGAAGTTGAATAGCAACAACTGGGCAGTGACACTGATGATTTGTTTGTCAAGACAAATTGTTATATACTACGCAAATGCATTCAACACACTCCTCTGAGTGAAAACAAATATGTGAATCTATGCAATGCTTACATGTTGAATGGGATATTTAATGTGCGGGGAAACTCAAAGGTTGAAGAACTAGCATTTAGACAGTCTAACAGTGGTAAGTAGTAATCTTACCTCTTTAAACTCCATTACATTCTCACGAGAGACATGCTAATACAAACAAGTCAATCAGAGTTTGTGTTTAGCAAGATCAAGCTTAGAGGATAGTTTAAAATCCATTTATTGTTCTAAAGCAATTTTTTCCATTAACATGTTATACATTAGTGGTTACTAACCATGATTCATGTAACAGTTTAGTTTGTTAACTTTTAAATTATTTAACAACCATAAGTTATTAATACAACTTTTAAAGTCTTACACAAAATTCTTAAAACAGGCTTGGGTTCATTTTTGTAATTTTTATATATAAAACATTTTAGGCATCTCTTGAAAAAGAAATAAAGCAGGCATTTAAAGCTAGAAAACAAGTAATTCCAAATTTAGTTTGTTACAAAAGGTTTCAGCTTTATTGACAAATTATGGCAAACATATTTGACAAAATTATGGTTTCCTATTTAGAGAAGCTTACACATGGAACTTTATGTGATTTTTTTTAACAAATACAGGTTAAAACACTGAACAAATTCAGTTAGCTACATACATACAGTAGCTGCTTGTTTTCAACCCCATTAAAACAGCATTTAAAATTAAATTTACAAACTGAATATCGAACATCTTAATCTAACTAACATATATTAAAAAAGACAGGTTAAAACATCTTATCTACAGCTTGGTTATTGTCTGATTCCAAAAAAAAAAATCATATTACAGTCTTTTAGCAACCCTAAACAAAAACTCAGCCTTTAGCTAGTATGGAAAGGCTCTAGATCTGTAACAGCATCATGCTTCTTAAAGATACACACAACAATGAATAACAACCAAGAGAACATCATCTTTTGAATGGTTTATAGACAATGCTTGCCAAAAAAAATTTCGTTTTTTTTTTAAGTCCGTGTTATAAAATAATACTAATGCCAATGTCACTCCAGTGTTATAGGAAATACAAGTAGTACATAGGATAATAATGAGCAGTAATCCCTAGGATAGAAAAGAAATGGACTATTACTTGTCTCATTGCTGTTTATGTGGAGACCACAGGCTATTAATTGTCTTTGAGATGAGGTCACAGATGAGGAGGACCTTCAATATCTACCATAGGGGTGTTCCCTGTAACCCCCTCTGGCTGACCTTGGAGGTGGTGCCTTTAGGCTGGAACGGGTTGTGGCCCATTCTTCTTGTGCTAAAACAGAAGAAGAGAACAGTTTTTGTAAATCTATAGTTGAAAAAACAAAATCATAAAAGTGCTGGCAACTCTTAGGCCAGGTACAGATATTACCATTTTAATGGTATAAGTGATCAGAAATTGGTAATCAATGTAATCAACATGATCAGAAACAGGGAGGGACCAAGGAGGCCAGTGAGAAGAAGTTCCATAAAGTGGATACACCATGCTGACACCTGGGTCATGTACAGGAGCCCAAAACTGGACACAGTGCTCCAGATGTGGCCTCACCAGTGCCATATAGAGGGGAAGAATCACTCCTCTCAATCTTCTGGCAACACTCCTACTAATGAAGCCCAGTATATTGTTAGTCTTCTTTGCAACAAGGGCATACTGTTGGCTCATATTCAGCTTATTGTTCACTGTATCCCCCCAGCTCCTTTTCTGAAGAACTGTTTCTTATCCAGTCAGTCCCCAGTCTGTACCCCTGCATGGGACTGTTTTGTCCTAAGTGCAGAACTTGGCACTTGTCCTTATTGAACTTCATGATATGTTTTTTTGGTCTAATCCTTCAATTTATTGAGGTCTCTCTGAATCGTAGCCCTAACCTCCAGTGTATCTACTACTCCACCACAGCTTGGTGTCACCTGCAAACTTTCTGAGGGTGCACTCCATCCCATCTTCCAGGTTGTTGATAAAGATACTAAACAAAACCAATCCCAGGAGCAATTCCTGGGGCACTCCACTTGAAACCAGCTGCCAACTAGACATCAAGCTATTGATTACTACCCTTTGAGCCTGACAATCCAGCCAGTTTTCTATCCACCTTAAAGTCTCTTCTTCCAACCCATACTTCCTTATTAAGGAATCTTATTAAAAAGGTTTAATGGTCTACCTATGAAACGTGCAGTAACAATTAACATATATCATTCCATCACTTTCAGCAGAGTATGACTATCCACTTTACCAGTAATTCAATTAGCTCCGGAAAAAATCACTACTTTAGTCTGCCAGCTCAGAACTCATTTTATACTGAGCTTCTAACATCTAAGCTAAAGCACCAAAGTGAACAACACTTTATGCATCTTGTATGTTAACAAGATCAGTAGCTGAATCATAAAAGGATACTTGAAACAGATTTGATTTTCTACATCCATTTTGGACCAAAAGAAGGACAGAAAATAATGGAAGGAAAATCACTGAAAATAAGGCAAGTATATCAGGCGAAGGAGTTCCGCCATCTAGATTTTATTATGTATAGAAGAATTTATGTCAACTTTTGAGCAAATTTTGTATTCATAGCAATGAAGTAAGTTTGGAAAGTTAAGTATAAAACTGGTTAGACTGGTACAAAGACTATGTTAATCTATATTTATGTATAAGGGTTTATGAAGGCAACCTCTGTATAAGGGTTTATGAAGGAAGCATACAGGCAGTTGAAAGCCAATGAGAACAGAAAGAATGATAGAAAAACAGTATCATGGTTAAGAAATAGAGCCAGGACCCAAATATGTGAGCTCTGATACCAAATCTCATACTGCAAAATCATTTGACTTCTCTACATCACTCCTCATCAAGAAACTCAAGGAGTCATACAACAATTATGTCTGCCAGTATTAAGAGCTCAATATTTACCAGATGGTTGTGTCTGGTCCCCTATTTCTCTGTTGCAAAGGCGTAAGACAGCATCCTGGAAACCACAGTTTATTTACTTATTTTTTCACTGATGATCATTGAACTTATACTACAAGTATGTATTGAAGTCTAACCTTTCAAAAACATTACTGTATGAGCTAAGATTTTTATTTGATTGTTGTGGGGTGAAAATTACATGGTTTGACTATGCATCAAGAACTGGAGATCTGGAAAAAAATGCTGCAAAGGAATTTGAATGGAAAATACTGTGTCTGAAAGGATGCTAAATGAGCAGTAAGCGAGAACTGTAAAAGGGAAACAATGGAGGACTGTACTACAGCTGTCATAAAATAATTAATTTCTTGCTATTTTAAATTATACCTTGTTCCCAGGGCCTAAAATGAGAATATAATAATTTTCTTACAAGAGAGACAATGTAGTAGTACATATTGCACTATTTAATGTAATAGGTTTTAATGGGGACCAGAAATTTTTGGAGATCTCATCCCCTTCGTTATAAAATTTAAAGATTTACATTTGTATATATGAACATGATTTTCTTTTCATCCATCATGTCTTCCAATAGGGTGCCTTGATTCTTCTACTGACCCACTCTGTTCATAGGTATAGGAGACCAGCAGCATGGTGACAGGTGAATTCCTTTGGCTTGGCATGGCAGACAAGGTTCACTTACTCAAGATATAAATTTGGTGAGAATGATATCCTATGCACATGAATCTAGTTTATGGGTCTAAGCTGTACTAAGAGGAGGAACCTAGAACCAACAAAACATGGAGAGGAGACATGGGCTCAAGTTTTCCTTCCTAATGTTAACTTGTTAACAAGATCAGGCCTGAGGAAGGAAGTGAGCCAAGAACCAAAGTAAGGAACGCTAGTAATTGGGAGCATGATGGTAGCCTTGCTTCCTGATCGATAGTGGCCAGGTAGAGGTTAAAAGTGTGTAATCACTTTTACTAGTAAAAGGGATTGGAAACTGGTCTGTACCTATAACAGAACAGAAATATAGCACGCATGGACTGGTTTTAGAATGGCAGAACCCGGTTTAATATTTGCCCTGCTGCCCCACACCAAAGGGCAAATGTGTGCTCTGTTCGATACAGATCTAAACTATGCCACTTATAGAAAACTGCATAACTTAGATCAATTTCTCCTTGGCCTTTTTGAATGTTTGTACCTAGCCAGTATGTACATTCTCTCTGGTAAATTTTCTAAGTTTCTAACAAGCCAAACTGGATTCTCCTTAAGACCTACATGTCCCAAGATTCAGCTGTGATGGGAATCCAACCTTTACTTTTTTGCCTTTTGTTTCCGCTACTGAAAAGATGGGACTGTGTTAGTGCCTCTCTACTTGGCATTGATTAGGCCTCATCTAGAATATTGTGTGCAGTTTTGGGCTCCATATTTTAAAAATGATGTGAAGAGGTTAGAGAGGGTCTAGAGATGAGCAACAAACATGATAAAGGGCTTGGAAAGCAAATCATATGAGGAGAGGCTGAAGAAACTACGCATGTTTAGCTTGCAGAAAAGGCACTTAAGTCAGGACATGATAGCAGTCTTGAAATAACTGAAGGGTTGCCATAAAGAAGAGGGAAAGCACCTTTTCTCTCTTGCTGAAGAGAGAAAGACACAGATCAATGGCTTGAAGTTGCAGCAAAGTAGGTTTACATTATACTGGATATCAGGAAAAACAACTTCACTGTTAGAACAGTGAAGCAGTGGAATAGACTGCCTTGGGAAGTTGTGGACTCTTGGTCACTGGATGAGTTCAAGAAGAGGTTGGACAGCTACTAGTCAGGGATAATCTAGGTATAGTTATGCCAATGTTCTACTATGGGTATTTCCCATGATTTTGGGCTTTGCTAATTGTTCAATCCCCTCTTCTCTTTCTGCTACATATGTCAGGGTGTTTTCAAGCCTTCCTCAGAGGCATTGGACATTGTTTGTAACCAAGGCTGGGTATTTTGATTGGAATGTGCCAGTATTCCTGCT